AGTTCTCCACACACTCCAAGCCATGGCATCCAAATCTCTGTACTCCGAGGTCCCAGAGCACGTGCCCAAAGTGCCCCCAAAGAGAAATGAGCCAAGGCTTTGGCAGGGTCTACACAAGGCCCTGCCCGTCTGGCTCTCACCTTCCTCCCAGCCTCGTCTCCTGCCCATCAGTCCCTCCCTCTCTGGGCTACAGCCTCATGCCCTATGTTCATTCATCTGACCCCATGGCCAGTGTTCAGCCTGGATCGTTCCCTCTTCCTTCCCCAAGGAACCACCCACTCCCAGTCTCAGAGGAGGCCCTCTGTCAAATGCCCTCCCCACACTTACCTCAGTGTGTGCTTTTCTGTTTTTTTAAATAATTTTTTTGTTTTCAATTACAGTTAACATCCAATTTTATATTAGTCTCAGGTATACAGCATAGTGGTTACACATTTATGTAACTTACGAAGTCTAGTACCCATCTGACACCATACATAGTTATTTACAATATTATTGACTATATTCTTTATGCTATAACCTGCACCCTCATGACTACTGTGTAACAACCAATTTGTACCTCTTAATCCTTTCCCTTTCTTCACTCAGCCCTCCAACACCCTTTCCATCTGGTAACCATCAAAATGCCTTCTGTATCTATAAATTTGTTTCTGTTTTGTTTGTTCTTTTATTTTGTTCTTTAGATTTCACATATAAGTGAGATCCTATATTTGTCTTTCTCTCACTTACTTTACTCAACACAATACCCTCCAGGTCCATCCATGTTGTAGCAGATGGCAAGATTTCATTCTTCTTTATGGCTGAGTACTATTCCATTGTATATACATATCACCTCTTCTTTATCCATCCGTATGTTGATGGGCACTTAGGTTGCTTTGATATCTTGGCTATTGTCAATAATACTGCAACGAACATATGGATGTACACATCTCCTCAAAGTTGCATTTTGGTTTTCTTTGTATAAATACCCAGAAGTAAGATTACTGGGTCCTTCTTTGTCTCTTGTTATAGCATTTGTTTCAAAGTCTATTTTGTCTGGTGTAAGTATTTGTGTTTTTCATTTCCATTTTTATGCAATGTCTTTTTCTATCCCTTTACTTTCAGTCTGTGTGTGTCTTTCGATCTGAAGTGAGTTTCTTGTAGACAGCATATGTAAGTGTCTTATTTTCTTATCCATTCAGCCACCCTATGTTTTTATTATTGGAGCAATTAATCCATTTACATTGAAAGTAATTGTTATAGGTATGTTGTTATTGCCATTTTATTATTCATATTTTTGAACATTTTTCTTCTTTTTACCAAAGTTCCTTTAACATTTCTTGCAGTACTGGTTTGGTGATGCTGAACTCCTTCAGCACTTCCTTGTCTGAGGCAAGCATGTGTTTATCTACTTCACTGTCAGCTTCCAGGAGAGCAAGAACGGTGGCCAGTTTTACTTACTAATGGGGTTTCTTTAGCTCCTTTTTTTACTTATGGGTGAGAAGCCATGGGAGAGATTATTTCTTCACCTTACCCCTCTTTACTAAAGAGCCAGTGTCTCTAGGTAGGAGGACATTTTGACCTAGAAATCAAGTACAGTGAGTTTTCATTTTTGCTCCCATTCTCATATGAACTCTCCATGGAACCTTAGGATCTTGACACTTCCCTCTTTGAGCCAGTTTGCTCTTTTATAAAAATAAGTGATTAATCTAGATGGCATCTGAGGTGGTTCCTTCTCCGACAGCATCTTTCTGCAGACTAGCAAGACAAAGACCGGTGTCTGAATCCCATTTTGGCCACTTGGTCACCTTGCACCCTTAGGCACATTGCTTAATCTCCCTGGACCCTGACTTCCTCTTCTGTGAAGTGTGATAAGAATCGCTAGCTCTCAGATCTGATTAGAAGGTTAAATGAGCTGATGTATTATAACACCTGGACCATCCTTCCCACAACTGCCAGGGAATTTAAAGGCGGATAGTAACTAAGTAGGGCCCAGCTGTCTCCGCATGCTTGGGTTTGTGCACACTTTATTCCCCTGAAGAGGCTTTCTGCCACCTAAGAAATGACCACATCCCTGACGACTCACAGCATTGTTTCTCTCCTCATTCCAGCCATCCTGTCAGGTCCAACTACATGCAATAGCCTTATAGTTGGTTCCAAAGATGCTGACAGGTGTTTCCTGTCTTCATGATACAATGGCAAGAGCATGACTAAAGTCCTCATCCAGCCACCACTGACCCTGTACTCAATTATCCTGGTCACCTTCACCCTTTCCTGTATGTCGCAAAAAACATGAGCTTTCACTAGAGGAGAGAAATAGGAGGGAGATATTTCAAACCATTTCTTTTTCTCAATCTCTTTTTTTAAACAAAGAACCCCAGAATCACTGAATGATAAGGTGTTTGAGGGAAAGACCTTCAAGGATTATCTATTCTAGCCCCATCACTTGGTGTTGGTGGTGACAGAGACTTGAGCATCTATCTGTGAAAAGAGAAGACTGGACTTGGATCAGAACCCCAGGGGGTGAGTGCTGGCTCCACCCATTCTGTGATTGCAGGCTGGTCACATAACCGCTTCAAGCTGTGAACGAGATAGATACTGTGTCTTGTGGGAAAAGTGAGGTGTCAGTGACACAGTGCAGGGGACAGCTCTGAACTGTGAAGCAGTTTCCAAGGAGAAGCATCAACAAGGGTCTTTGGACCCAAGACTTCCGTGGTAACAGACTCCACTCACCCGCCAGCATGCACCTCGTCTCGCACGTCCAATTCTGTGAATTATTTAAAAAAATACCAATGCCTAGCAAAACGCCTGCCACTGAATAAGTGCACAATCATTTCTTCTGAATGATTTAGGTAAAAATGACTCAAGAAAGGGTTTTTGAGGCCTCCTCAGAGTCAAAAGGTGGGTGCATGAAGCCACCCAAAGTCCCTGTTTCAGGACAGCCCCAAACCGTTATGGGCTCCAGTGGAGAGTCACTAGTCTGTTCCTCTCTCTGTTCCCTGGAGAGAGGTGGCCTGGTGCTGAGTCTTCTTCACAAGACCACCTTGGTTCACACTCACAGAATAGTAGGCTCCCCCAAACCAAGCTAGGATCTCTCACCTGCATTGCTCTTCCTTTAAAAACCGTTTCATAAATAAATAAATAAATAAATAAATAAATAAATAAATAAATAAATAAATAAATAAATAAAATAAAAATGCAAATCAATACAAAAACCTATGATGAATAAAATATAAACCTTTTAAATAAAAATTTTTTTAAAAAAACATTGCCAAGAAGGTTACATGAAGGACAAAGTTAGTAAGACCTCAAACTCAGCTGTCTGTCTAGAAAAAAGTTTCAAATTCTCCTTGAAAAATTAAACCACACTGGGGAATTCTCTACAGCAGAGGATGCCATCAGCCAAGATGGGTGTTGCCTCTGATGGTGGAAACAATGGTACTTTCCCAGATTACCAAAGAGGTGCTACATCTCCTTTCCAGAAGCTAAACATCCTCGAGGTTTCAACAGAGGCCTTCACCTGAAGATGTCCTCCTTGTTGAGGTCTCAAACCAATATTTTCATATGAACTATTTTTTCTTCAGTGAACCAAAGAGTTACACTGATGGTGATCCAGGTTCCCAGGGGCAGAAGCCATCATTAGTGCTGACATTATTTTTGCTTAGTTGCATCTCCATAGCACCCCACGTTCACAATGAGCTTTGCAACTGCCTCTTAGCAATAGTCCTCACAGGACCTCCAGGAGGCAGCGGGGTGACCCAGGCTAACACTTTCGTGCTGCCTGAAGGGGAAGCACAGACGTAGAGAGCTGGCTGCCATCATCGTTTGTACAGTGATCGCGCTGACACCAAGTTCTGCCCCTATCTGACACTGCGTCCAGGGCGCCAGCTCTCTCTGTGGGTCTTGTTTATGATGACTGAAACAGCAGGTCTATGACCAGAGGACCAGAGGACAGAATCAGAATCAGAGACTTTGTGCCTTGGATAGACCTTAATGACCATCTACCCAACTCCACTGTTTCGCTGGACAGGACCAGAGAAAACACTTTACCGAACTCCCACAGGCCACTTACTCCCAGTCCGCTGCATTTTGGTTTTTTATACCACGCTGCCATGCCTTGTCTTTCTCTCCTCTACCCTCTTCTTCCATCCATTTCCTTTAGCTAAAATTTACATGGCTTAAACTCAAACCAAGAAACCTGACACATTTATGTGCTGAGTCTAGTGTTCTACCACCTGTCTTGGGCTAGCCTCAGAATGTTGAAAACGTCTGATGCAGTGTCCTATTTTGAGTCCCTTCCTTTCCCCCAACCTCTGTTCTTGAAGCTAGCCACTGGCCTACAGCAGGGCTCTGCCCACCTCCCTGAGTCTGCAGCTACCCTCACACAGCTGGGGTCTGTCCTGGGGTTCTGGTGGAGGGCCACTTGGCTGTGATATGGCAAAGGCAGAGAGCTCTCTCCTGAAGCTGTCACTTTGTAGGAACTGGGTTGACGGTCTGCAGAGGAGTAAGAGGATGAGGACTTGGGTGGCTGACATCACTTTCCTCTCCTCTACTCTGCCCCGAGCAGGAGGTTGTCCCCACACTGAGTGATCTATGCTATTCAAGCAAACCCACCCCTTAGCTGCCAAGTACCTGTCAATTCATGCTTAGCAGTGGGGGCAATAAACAAATTAACCAAAACTCAAACTACAGCTCCTGAGCTGCTCTCCAACCCTGGCATCCACAGTTCTGACTTTAGCAGTTCTCCTTCGTCTCCCACCATATATTTTTAGAAACTTGTTATGTTTCCTGCTCCTCTTCCCTTTTTCTAAGACTGTGTTTATAAATGTTTACAGCAAAGCAAAAAATAAATAAACCAAGTCAGAAACTGCAGGAATGTCTGCAAACAACATTATCAAGTTTATAATCTGTCATTATTTGGCCAGTATAAGGTTGAATGAACATAAAAGAAATGCAAATCAGGATCCTTCTCTGTAAATTCCCATGACACATCGTGGCCACACCCACTGCACAGGAGACAAAAGGCCAAAGAGCCCGACCCAGCCACGTCTTCAAGCAGAGCCCACTCACCTCACTGGCACCGGAGACAGCAAAGGTATTGTCCTCATCACATCTTTGGCTTTTAAAATATTTTTTGTTTCTCTCCTTGGCTGTTATCTCTCAAACTGCCTTCTCTGAAGCTAAAGCCTCTTCCTTCTTGGTTTGGTATGTGAGTTAGAATCACAATAGGATTTCAGAAAATGATCCTTCCTCCTGGTAGAAACTGAGGGACAGGGAACTGCTTCCACACAAGGCCGGTGGTGCAGCCAAGCCTTCCCTCGGAGGGAACTCCACTTCCAAAAACTGCTGGGAGAAAACTGGAACTTTCCAAGTCTGCCTCTCTCTTGCATCTGATTGAGGCAAATGCCTTATTCTTGTGGGGTTTTTTAACTTAGCCAAACTTGACTGAGTGCCTACTGTGTGCATGCATTGGGCTGGGCACTAAGGGACACCAAGATTCTAAAAGAAGTTTATAGTCTGCTAGAGGAGGCAGACACTTATGCAAATGACTCAAGGGAGCGAAAAGAATGGGGAGCATGCTGAGTGTGGCTACGTCATGTCATGAGTTAAGTTGCTCAAGAAGCACAAACTGGAGGTGGTTCCCCTCGCAAACGTCTGGTTCAGAGGCTGTCGAGGCTGACAGGGTGTTCTCCTTTGCAGGAGTCAAGATGGCCAAAGTCCCTGACCTCTTTGAAGACCTGAAGAACTGTTACAGGTAGGAAATAAACAGTGATCTGATGAGGGGATCAGGCATACCAGAACCCAGCTAGGAGTTGCAGTGACCAGCATGGAGCCAGACCGGCAGAGGCTGTAGAGATGGTCTCACCTCCAAAGTCAAGGCAGACTCAGCAAAGACTTAGGGAAACCAAGCATCCAGCATGTTTAAATGGATATGACGTTGACAGGAAGACAGCAATTACAGAAAAAGTGTTTTTTAAGGCCTGCTGAGTCCTAGTGAATTTCAGTGTCTACTCAGACACAGCCTGGGTCACAAGCTCTGGTACAGTAAAGGGTTCTAATGGCCTGTTCGAGAGAGACCACCCTCAGGAAACTTCTTGCTCTCAATCTGGAGAGGAAAATGGTTTCACAGCAGTCGGAGCATGCGGGCGCTCGTACACACTCAAACCTAGTCAGAAGTAGGAAGAACGTAAGTGAATATAAGGTGTGAATTATAGAGCACTTTCAACAAACATGTTCTCATTACCTGCTTTACCTGCTAATATGCACTAACATACACTAGGCCATCCAAGTGTTGCCTGAATGTTTTGCCAGGTATAAATTACTAAATCCATTTTAGTGAGTACATGAAAGCAATGAGTAACATAAAGTCTATTTGGTCAGAATTTAAATAAGGTGCTTTGGCAGAATTTCTTTTCTCTTGAGGAGCTGAAATCCAATTACAACTCCAGTTTGTCAGCCAAGCCCTGTTTCTGTTGATGAAGCACAGGGAAAGTTCAAGGCCTGTCTTGAAGGTTACTAATTCCAGGTCAGCGAAGTACAGATTACTCTATGTACATACGTACAGAAGTCCTTAATTTTCAAAGATGACAAGAGTGGCCGTGTGTGCATGCATACACATGCACATGTCACCCAAAGCTAATGAGATCATTAAAATATGCTGCCTGGTGGCCATTGTGATCTAACAGAATGACATTCTCGTCATCTTGTTTGACAGTGCAAATGAAGACTACGGTTCCGAAATTGACCAACTCTCTCTGAATCAGGTAAGCAAATGACTGCTTCTTAGGGTGGCTGTTCTGACAGCTGTATTTTCTCCATGGGAGGACAGCAGCCACGGCTTCTGTCCCACAGGCCTCTGCTGTGACGTCTCGAGAGGTCCGGAGACATGCATGTCTTCATTATAAGTGAGGCACACAGGGCTGATGGCATTCTCCACACTAGACAGGTTTTCCCAGAATAGAGCACAGCTACCCTGAACCCCAAGAGCTGGAGTCTCCCGGCTTCATCAGATGCTAGTTTACCACCCTGAGACAGACCCTTTGGGCCACTTGCCCAGGGGTCTGTCACCTATACATAAGTTGTGGTCCTCCTCTCCAACACCTGCTCCAGAGATCAGAGATGGCCCTACAACATAACAGCCCAGGAAGCTGAGGTGGGCCAAGCAGGCCACTCACAAGTACTCCTGTGTGTCTTTGGTCCTGGCTCTAAATGTCATTCCCAGAAGAGTATTTCTAATTACCTGAGCCCTGTCCAGTAGCAGTCTAACTTCCTGAGAGGGAACTACTGGAGAGTCTCACGTGTGTGCCTGTTTCATTGCACCTCATTTTTGTGTCTGCAGATGAATGACAAAGACTGGTCAAGAGATGATATCCTTCCAGGGAAATCCTGGGAGGGAGGGGGATGGGAAGACTGAAGACAGGTGGGTTAGCCGAGACCCCACTTAACAGCCATCTCACTAAGTCTGCTGAATAAAACTCCCACTAAAGGAGTCTCATCTTATGGCCACAGGCAGCCTGTCAGTCTCCACCTCCCTTCCTCACAGAAATCCTTCTATGATGCAAGCTATGACCCACTTCACGAGGACTGCATGGATAAATTTACATCTCTGAGTACCAAGGAGGCCTCTAAGACTTCCCAGCTTACCTTCAAAGAGAGTGTGGTGATGGTGGCAGGCAATGGGAAGGTTCTGAAGAAGAGACGGCTGAGTTTCAACCAGGTCATCACCGATGACGATCTGGAAGCTGTTGCCAATGACCCAGAAGAAGGTAAGGGGTCGCGTGCCATAATATCCTTGTTTGCATTTTTTAAGCAAATGGGGACAATAGGGTATAGGGGCAAATAAAACCTGGAATCAGGGTGACAAGAGGGCAGCCAGGCATTAGTCTGGTAACTATCAGGAAGGAAAATTCATTTCTCTGCTGCAGGAGGGAGAAAGCAGCCTGGCCTGGGTTTAAGATGCTTGCTCACATGCTCATTTCATGGCCATACTGTAAAGGTCGTGTGACTTCGAGCCCTTCAGCAGGAAGCGGTTACATACTGTTGGCGGGTAAACCACTGACAAGTCATGTTTCTCCTCATGCTAACTGTGCCTCCTTGGGTAAGTTACTGGCCTTTCTGTGCTTCAGTTTCCTCTACTGAAAAATGGAGATGATCAAAGCCCCTACCTGTTGTGAAGATTAAACGTGTCAATTCTCCCAAGCTCCTGGACTAGAATAATGCCTGGCACATAGCAAGTACCCAATAAACAGCAGCTATAGTTGTTGCTATGACTACCACTGCGGCTACCACCGTGTTAATGATGCCAGCACCACCAGTTTACTAATGGCCACATTATCTTCACAACAACCAACATTCTCATTTTACATACGAAGAAACTGAGCTCAGTGAGCCTATCTACTGCTCAAAGTCACACCACATGTGAGAACAGCAGCTTTGAAGCAGATTCAGTCCTGACTATGAAAGTCATGATTTTCCTTACTCTACAACCCTCTACATAAAACATAAAGCCAGGACTTTTAAGGTAACAGCCAAACACTAACACATGTTCACCTAGGAAAGTGGGAAATACAAGAAAATGTAAGGATGAATAAGAGTCACTCAGACTGCCACCAAGAGCTTAGCAGGGCCCACACGATGGTCTGCTCCTAATCTTTCCAAGGTTTGCACACACATGAACACACGTGGAGTACTGTCAGGCTCATATGTACCCAATCTGTGTCTAGCTTTACTCAGCAGCATATCGAGGGCATTAGAGCACCAGTTTTCAGTACTGTAAGCCATGCGACAGAGACCATCTGTACCGATAAACCTTCATTTCTATCACCACGTCATTCCTTACAATAGGTTCCTAGAAGCAGTGACGCAGAGCTGGAGGACGCGTGAAGCTATGGGTGCCTCCAGCATTCTGAGGGGCGGTGGGCACAGAGAGCTGCTCCCTCAGTGACATACACAGTTCCCCATGTATTCGCTTCTTGTCTCAGAGCACTTTCCTTTCAATGTAGGTAAGGGACACCAGCAGTCTTCCCAGTAACTTAGAGACCTCCAAACAACCAAAATGATAAAGTCGCACAAATAATCTCTTTTGGCATTCAAGTCTAAAGAGGGAACGTTCCCACGGGAATGATCCTGGAGCCAGCTCTCCTGCTTCTGGGCGACTTCACCTGTTTCCTCACCTGTGTGGCCCATTCCTAACATTCCTTCCACAGCTACCCCCTGTGCTGTCTACAGCACACGTCAGCAGTGTCAGCCCCCAGACATTAATCTGAGCTTGTGCTAATGGTTGCAGAAATCATCCAGCCCAGAGTGGCAGCTCCCAGCTCCCAGAGTAACATTAAGTACATCTTCAAAAACGTCATCAAACAACGCTGCATCCTGAATGACACCCTCCATCAAACTATCATTCGAGACACATCGGGTCCATATCTCATGGCAGCCGCATTGCATGACCTGGACCAAGCAGGTAAACGGACAGTCCGGTCATCCTCCCCTGCTCTTACTTCTCTCTTTCTTTTGAGCTTTCCACTTTCAAACAATCAACCTCTCTAGACTCCTGGCCTTGCACAATTCTTCTAGAGCAGGAGGATGCACGCCACCCCAGTAAAAACCCCAAGCCAGGGCAGGGGCGTCAGCCTAACCTGGAGGCTCCCAGAGGTGTCCGGCTCTGAGAGCGCTCCATGCAGTGCAAAGCTTTCTGAGGCGGTTTCTCCTTCGGTTCTCCCAGATATTCGTTTCCTTCTTAAGAAGTTTAAATGACTCACCCCAAGTTACCCAGAGCCAAGGAGGAGTCATTACTGTCTATTAGAAAGCCTGCCAATCAAACTTACAAATAACACCAAACTAGAAAGAACCATTATCAGAATTATATACCATAACTGTGACACAAGACAACCAATAAGCTGCAGGTATGTCCTGAAGGATGAAATGTAGTGTCTGAGAGGTTTTACCACACAGATCCAGTTCCCATGGTGTACACAGTTTAGCTTCAGGACAAGTCATCATATACAAAATTATTTTCAGACCCCCACAGGGGCCCATCCACAGTAAGAAGCAAGGCTCTCTCTGCATCGACCTCTTTCAGCTAATGTGTCTCATGCTCTATGGCAGCTCCGAATCCTCATGTTCTATTTTCTACCTAAAATCCTTTCACAGAGTTTTATATAATTTGCCATTTTAATGGAACAAGAATATTCCATCGTGTTGCTGTGCTGGTCCCATGGGTTTGCTCTAAGTAACTCTGTTGCAAATATCTTTACACATATAATTTTTCCCTATCAGGTTATTTCTTTAGAGCCTAACCCAAAAGTGGAATGCCTGGGTCCCTAGGCATAAAATAATTTTATAGCCCTTATTAAGCATTGTTCTCTACAGAAGCTGAGCTACTTGCCACTATCACTAGCATCATGAGTGTGTCAGCTTCTCTAAACCCCTCCACTCAGGCCATTACGAACTCATGACCTCACAAATCGCAGGGTCTTATCTCACTGCGGTAATTACAAGAGACTCCACAAATACTCAGCCCAAAAATTTCATTCAACACAGAAAATTCTACAGACATTAACCAAGTATTCACCAACCTAGTAAATGTGGCAGACGTGTAAAGGAAACAAAGATGCACCACATTCCATTCCTGGTACTTACAGCACAGTCAGGGACCACACACACACACACACACACACACACACACACACACACACACACACACACACAGTATCTACATCAACACTTGATTCTACACAAATACAATGAATTTACTTTCTTTTTGGCTTTTCTCTTCACCAGTGAAATTTGACATGGGTATGTATACATCAAATGACGACTCTAAATTGCCTGTGACTCTAAGAATCTCAAAAACGCGACTATTTTTGAGTGCCCAAGAGGAAGACGAACCTGTATTGCTAAAGGTTAGTTGTCCTCGGATTCCAACTTACCTTCATTACACCCCATATGTCTGTAAATGACCCCAACACGCGGACTCCCCTAGCAGGATGCGCAGTCCTCTTCTCTTCTTACCACAGTCCCCACCTGCCCACCTGTCCCCAACCCTGATTCTCACCCATCCCCAGGGGCAATTGTAAGCAGGATCTGTGAGGGAGTAAAATGGAGACAGCAAGAGCAACTAAGAGGTAAATTGCCTCTTTCTTCTTTTTCTCCCCCTGCCTGACCCTATTCACCACCCCCCAGGGCATGCGTTAATTGCATCCATCTTTGATCCTGACGTCTACTGTCTAACCACCATGACAGTAGGCATTAAGGACAATGGGTTGCCTCCAAGAAACTCAAACAAGCCAACTGAGATCAGAGTGGATTAAGCACATGCCAATGGGCACAAAGCAAAAAGCTGGAGCCAAGACTCAAATACTGGCCTCTGACTCCAGTGCCTCTCCCCTCTTCATTGTTGCCAGCATTATCTCTCATCCCAGCCCCATCACCACTACCACCTACCCCTGCAAACAAGCAGGCACACACACGCCCACTATAGTGTTGTGCTTTCTCCTGATAGGCAGGTGATTTATTCAGCAAATGTACAACACAATCCCCACCCCCACTAGGGTTTATGTAGTACATGTGTTTCTCTACCTGGGTCAAGTGACATGAAAGGTATCTGCTAGGGTTCCATTGTGTAATGGTTAGCACTCTGGACTCTGAAATGTATCTGCTGAGTAGGGCAGTACTCATTCATGAAGTCTCTCAGCGAGCGTCATTTACTGACAGCATTCTATTGGTCAAGCATAGTGTCAAAAGCTATGTAGACAGTGGTGTGCCAAAGTCCCCAGCCTTATAGAACTTACTCTTCTGGGGGGCAGACGATAGACAAGCCAAACAACCAACATGAAGTGCAAGATGCTGTAAGCAAATAAATAGGGTGCTAAGATGGACAAAACTGGGGGGAAGGGAGGTTGCTCTTTAGAGAGAGGGCAAGGTCAGAGCTGCTGATGGGAGGGGTGAGTGGGAGTCATGTTAAACAGAGGGTCTGAGTGCTCTCAGGCCCTAGACCTTTAGGGGCTAAAAGGCCAGCTTCAAAGATCAGAAGGACACTCCAGGAGCAGGGCACCATAAGTGGGGGAGAGGATAAGCAGAGGCTAGTGTTGGTGGAGACTTGCTTTTGGATTTCATTTGAGGTACAATGAAAAGCCATTAGAGGGTTCACTCAAGGAAGTGTCCTGGCTTCACTTCTATTTTCTAAAATGGAGAACACATCAGAAAGAAGGCAACAGAGAAAGCAGAGGGTCCAAGTAAGAGGTCGTAGCAATAGTCATGTGATGGGAGTTGCTGAGACCAGTGGAAAGAAGTAGACAGAATCTGGTTATATGTTGGAGACAAAACCTAAAGGACAAAGAGGAGAAACTCCACGAGATAAAATAATTAGAAGAATAGCTTTGTGAAATAAAATCCTTGTTGATATTGAAAACCCCAAGGAAACTTCAAAAGGATATTTAGTTGCTTTAGATTAAAAAGAGTAGAGAAGAAGCATTTCAAGTTGGAATCTGAATTTTAATTTTCCATGAAAGCATTGTTAGATTCTATTTGTAACCACAAGAAGAGTAGCTCTTAAAGAGATCACAGTTGTAAACAATTGTATTGATTCAACTGCTAATATACCAGGAAGTTGTGTGTGTGTGTTGTGTGTGTGTGTTGTTGTAACCTTCAATGGTTGACTTCTATAGGGATATAAGCATCTCTAAGTTAAAAATTGTTTTTCCAAAAGAATGATTTGCACACTTAGAGGTCAAAATGTTTAGCAGTCTTAGACACGCTAGTGCTCAGATTTTATGGGAAATGCCCTATGCTTTATGCCTTTGTTGGGTGCAGGACAACATCAGTTTCCACCCTACCTGCTAGGATATAGGGGGACACCAGTGTTACTGGCACTCTTCATGACTAATTTGGATTTCTGTACAGTTAACTAAGAAAATCAACTATTATAAATAGATGAGGCCATGCATCTAACAGGCATGTAATAAGTGCTTACTGAATGTACACGTGAATGAAGAACCTGTATCATACTACAGTCATAGCTCTCAAGTGCTGTTTCTCACAAAGGCCAAAAGCCAAGGGATCAAGCTTCAGTTCCTTTTCTAGCATCTCCTGTTCTCTAACATCTCTGTTCTCCTTTTCCTAGGAGATGCCTGAGACACCCAAAGTCATCAAAGATGAGACCAACCTCCTTTTCTTCTTGGAAGGTCATGGCACTAAGAACTACTTCGAGTCAGTGACCCACCCAACGTTATTTATTGCTACAAAGCAAGAACACCCAGTGCACATGGCAAGGGGGCAACCGTCTATCACTGATTTTGAGATACTCGAAAACCAACCTTGACTCAAGTCTACTTACTTATGAAGTGCTGACTGTCTGTATGTACTATGTACATGAAGGGGTCAAAACCTTCACTTAGTCACTTGTTGAGCATGTGCTGAGCCTTCATAATTCAGAAAAAATGTTTACTCACTTTGTGAAGAGGGAGCAAGTTCCGGTGAACCAACACTAAATTGTAATGTTGCTTGTTATTTAAGGAACACCCTGTACTTTGCAAAGTACCAATCATTTTAATTATCCTTCATAACCATCTTGGGAGGACCAGGGCTACTGGCTATTGAAAGAGACCCGCTCGTCTTCCAGTGGCCACCTGGCGTGTGCTAGCCAGATACCTAGAGGGTCCCTGAGTGGACCGGGTGGGAGATTTAGAAATGAAAGAAATCAAATAGAGAAGAAAGACACAGAGACAAAAGCTGGGATCAGGAGGGACACTCTGCTGCGGGTGGTGGAGAGTGCCACCGTTTATTGGTTACACACTGTTTATATAGAGAAAGCAATTTCCTCTTTTGTAGGGAACAATTCCCTAAAAGCATAGGGGATTTGGGCAGGGGGTTATGGGGAATGAGGAACCAATGTCCCTTATGCAAAGTTTTGGGGGTCTGGAGAAACAGTTTCTCCTAGCCACAAGTTACATGATGCACAACATAAGCCAATGCTATTTTCTAAGCAAGGTTAAACTGAGGCAAATAGACACTGTCAAAAAGTCCATGGTGGAAAGTCCCAAAGCATCAGAGTTATATTAGGAGGGTGCTTTCAGAGGGTCTGGTGGTTTCAGTTCCAGGGGACTTCTGTTTTCCTATAGAACAGGAGATGAGCTGGCTGTTGTTGGGTAAGATGTCTGTTCAGCAGGTTCTCTTTTGCTGTTCACCCAACATGGAGTTCTGCAGCTTTCTCAGCATACAGAGCATGGAGGCCTGTAACTTTCTTAGCTTGCAGCCTCACTGCTCTCAAGTGGCTCCCAACAGGCTATAGCTAGCAAATGACCCGACCCACTTCACAATGGGTTAACTAAGGCATCAGAACTAAGCAGTACCCACAATAGTAACTGGACTGAGAAGCCAGACCCAGTGTCTTGCTTTCTGCTTTTAAGTTGCTGATGGACCCTTAATCAAGTACTGTAAGTTTCTGGGACTCAAATTTGATCTTCCTCAAAATGAAGACCATGATATCTGTGCCCTTTCTGCCTCATCAGTATTTTATGATAATCAATGAGATCATTTTAGTAAAATGTTTCTTGAAGCTAAGCCTGAAGAAGGCAAAGCATGAAATGTTGTTATTATTTATATATACATACATATTTAAGGTAATTATAACATATTATATTTATGGCAATTTCTTGCAATCCCTGAGTGTGACCAGGTACCTTCTACAACAGTGTTTTCCAGGCTGAGTTTGATGTATTTACTCTAAGGCACTTTGGTCAAAGTAATGCTTTTTCCATTGCCATGAAGCTTTGTATTCTGGTACCTGGATCCCTGTAATTATGACAATAAATTTATATTAATTATTGTTTGTTGAGCTGATAACTGGCCCAAATATTTCACTCCTCTGCCTTTAAACTTGCTTTGGTATTCTTGTGTCATTCGGTTGCACCTGCTATCAAGTCCTACTAACTAAATTGGGATGAAGTTAACTTTGGTGACCACGGACAACTCTTATCTAAGCTTTCTTCTCTGGAATGTTAGCAATGTTCCTTCTAGGTTCTAAAAGTTGTGATCAAAACATAGTGTTACATTATTATTAATAATGAGGACTGATACATTATCAATCATAATTAAATAAAACAAAAAAGTAAATGTGATACATAATTACTTGTTTCACTGCATAGTAATTAGGACAAATGAAAAAAGTTTATACACACATAACTATAATTCGTGCTACTCTACAAAACCAAACCAAGATTTTATGGCTTTTCTCTCCTTTTGTTAGCTTGCCAGTTGCATGAATGGCATTAATAATAATATGCTTGGGCTCATTTAAGGCTCATTATACATGTACAGCACATGTGTTCACATATCCACACAAACACACTTAAGAGCCACATTAGTAACTAATTAACCCACTGGAAAGCATATTTACAAGATATGTTGAGTCAGAAAAAGTTAAAATCAAGAGAACTTGGCATTAGATGTGGGAAATAATGGGGAAGGAGTAATCCTAGATGACTCAGGTTCCTGATACTGGACAGTGGGTGAGTGGTGGTGTCAATAAGTATTTCTGGTAGAAATACTGAGCTCTCCTCAGATCCAGGACGAAGTACGATGAATGTACTTTCACCCGTATAATCTGAACAACTGGGAGGACAGGACACCCAGCGAAGATGTAGAATGGGCAGGTGATAATGTGTCTGGAACTTAGGACAAGTTAGGACTAGATACATATTGGAAGACAGCACGTACATAGAAAGTAAAATCATAAAAGTGGCATCAGAGAAAGAAGAGAAGCACATGAAGACTGTTGGTTGTCCACACAATCACCATGTCCCCAGCCAGAACAGTAAGGTCACCATGATGGAGTTCAACAGTCTTGGCACTGAACTTGTTGGACTCCATCTCTTTCATAATGGTCTTATACATCAGTTTCCAAGTTGATGAGAGCAAAGCCAAATGTCTGCCTTTAAGTCCAAGGTACAGAAGAAAAAGTTAAAGGATATTTCCCTAGCCCTCTTCCCACTAAGTCACCCTCTTGACACTTAAAACTACACAAATTTGGGGGGTGACAGAAATAGTTTGGATAGCAACTATTGTGATGATGAAATATGCTTGTGTGTCTGTATCTATTTCTTGGCTGTGTGGTGGTTTTAGGACTACATACTTTGTCAAAATTGTCCTCTTGAGTCTCGACCAATTTTGGCTTGTCAATATCATGAAATCTGCTGACCAGAATTATGTATAGAACTCAAGATAGTATAGAACTCAGGTCAGCACAGCCTAGAGAACTAAGACCAGCACAGCCTAGAGTGGGATCTTGTCCTTCCTGTTTTAGACACCATGCTTTCCTTAGAAAGTGACATTAGCATTTTGAAAGCAAGTGACATTGCTGATTCATCTAGTGTTTGTAGGCAAATAAGATCTATAGGTTCTCAAGCTATGTTCAAACTTTAAACATACCCTTGTTAAATTAATTCTTGTTAATTTAGCCTGAGGTCTTTCGAGATTGTTCCACACTGATTTTTTTTTTAATACACTGGGTTTTCCTCTCAGCTTTGTGACACCTCTAATTTGGTGAGTATATTTTTATTTTGTTCACAGTACATTGTAGAATATAAAGAATAGGTTACAGACATTTTTACAGTGTGATCTTGTTTTCACTTAAAATACCTACAATTATATTTAAATGACTATAGAAAGATACAAACATTATTAAAATGTTAACAATCCTTACCTTTGAGTGACTGAGTGATTTATAATGGTTTTTCTGGTTATGTTTTTCTGAATTTTTAAATGAATGTATAATTGCATAACAAAATACCAATTTACATGAACTTTTTGAGTTTGACTTCTTAAGAATATACACATAAGTGATACCAGGCAATATTTATCTTCCTCTGACTTATTTCACTTAGCATAATGCCGTCAAGGTTGACCCATGTTGTCAAAACATTAGGATTTCCTTCTTTCTCATGGCTGAGAAATATTCCATGATATATATATATATCATATATATGTAAACATATATATGATATATATATCATACACACACACACACACACACACACACACACCTACCTCACATTTTACCTATTCATCCACTAATGAATGCTTAGGTTGTTTCCACAGCTTTACTATTATAAATAACGCTGCTGTAAACATGAGAGTGCAGACATCACTTCAATATCCTACATAGTTTTATAATATAGTCCAAAATCAGGATATATGATGACTCCAGCTTTGTTCTTTTTTCTTAAGATTTCTTTGGCTATTTGGGGTCTTTTGTGGCTCCATACAAATTTTAGGTTTGTTCTATTTCTGTGAAAAATGCCATTGGAATTTTGATGGGTTGCATTCAATCTGTGCATAACCTTGAACTATATATAAAATGGGTAAAATTTAATAAATGTAAACTATGCCTCCATAAAAATGTTTTGGTTTTTTTTTTCATTTGCAAGAGGAAAAAGTATCCCTCTTCCATTTCTTCTTTTGTGTTACCAGAGTAGTCTTTCTTTTTAGTATCCTCTCAACCCTGGCCCTGAGGTATTGACTTATCTGAAATTGCCCTATCAGATTATCTTTCTTGTGTATACATTGTTTGCTTCCCCCATTCCTTTTCCTATGCTGCACTCTTACTGCCAAGAATATTGTGCTCCCTTTTCTCGGAAGCTTGTATCTTACCTATTTTCCATCAGTGACTGACAGAAAATAATAAAGGGTCTTCTGCCAACTTATCAATAAGCAGAGGCTGAGCCCTAACAGAGTAAGCTGGGGTCTCTGGAGTATCTGGAGTTCTCTAACATTAGAGCTTTTCAAAAGTTTACATGTGCAGTCCTCACTTCTAGAGAGTCTGATTCAGTCAGTCTGGGGTGGGGCCTTGAACATCTTATTTTTTTGAAAGCTCCAAAGGTAATTCTCGTGTCTATCTCTGGTTAAGCATCACTGAACGAAAGTGTTCCCAGCATCAAAGATGGTTTTATCATAGGGCTAATAATGGCTCCTCACTGGGCAAGTCCATTCATGGTTAGAAGAGGTGAGAACACGTAAGTCCCATCAATTCAGCAGAGGCCTCTTATAGCAGCAAGGGGACCAACGGCCCTACTTGAAAATAGGACACTAAACAGCAGGGGTAGCCCCCCAACTTCATACACTCACATTCACACAGAAGTTGAGGGACTCAGCAAGTAAGTTCCTGCCATTGGAATTGGTCTTCCAAAGGTCTCCAGTACTCCACTCGACTAAGAGTGGGATACAAAACAAGGAAAATATGGCTGGATTGTCCCTGGGCAGTCCTCTCATCTGTCAGCACTCCAAAAGCCAACTTTTGCCCCCAGCACCGTAACAAGAGGCACACTTCCTTCTCACGCCACCAAAAAGCAGAGCTGACTTCCTTCCACACAGCTCCTACTCTCTTCATAGATCATAGACGTCTGATGCTCCTAGTATGAAGAAAAATGCTCTAATTTTTTTTAAAGGAAAGAGTTTTGGAGATTATAGACAGGTATTCTTGATATGAATGTATCGCAATAATTTAGAAAAGAGCATTCAGCAGATGTTTTGTGAATACAGAGAATAAAATGCTGCCATCACAAAGTCTCAGCCTAAGCAAGTCAGGCCACCGACCTCATTTCCATTTTTGCTGGGATTACCTGCTTGGTGACATTGGCAGTTGTGTCTCTACTGCGGCCATGGGTGTATTTTGGCTTAATGTGACTAAATATTTAAATCAGATAGCTAACTTTTCTTGTTCTGATCCATGCACCAAGGGAATTTCAGGAATTATAACCTGGTTTCCTATATGTGTGTCTCCAGGAAGAGAATGTGCGGGCTACAGAGTGTGAGTGTCAAGTGTTGCCTGCAAGACCAGCCCTGCTGTATATGAAACCTGGCTCTATTTTATAATTTAGTCTCTGGTGCATTTAGAATGCTGTAGAGAAAAAGAGAACACACTTTGAAATCAGTACTGGATTGAAGTCTCATTTACTTTATAACTCTTGAACTCTTTCTCTCAATCTCAAGTTTCCTTACCTGTAAAATGGAGATAATAACGACAACAAAGGTTTGTTGTGTTAAATGAGATACAATACAGAAAGAACTCAGCACATCATCAGGGGTTTAGAGTGTTCAATTCATTCACTCACTTAAAAGTAGCCTTTACCGGTTTTACTTAGCAAATGCACCCAAGAGACTAATCCACATCAGGATACCTGAACCCACAAAGCTGAGGCCTGGACTCCAGGTGAAACATTCTGCAAACCATCAGGTAGAGTCTCTTGACCAGCCAGTCCCCGTCCTTGGTGACTTCCACCTAGCTGTTCTCATTTCTTTCCAGCTTCTACATTACACTGTATTTTTATTTTTACCATGGCATTCAGCAAAGTCCTTAATGACATAGTGGTAGACAAGACGAAGACATAGTGGTGCGTAGTGTGGTTACTATATTGAAAATCTTCAAAGGGAGACAACTCTATTCATCCATTCAGCAGATATTTACTGAGTTCCTGCTTGGTGCTAGGCACAACAGAAATAATGGCCCGCTCTCATAAAGCTCACAGTCTAGCAGGGAGAAAGATTAAACAAACAATCAAGCTAATTAAAACGTGCAACTCAGGAGAGCCTCCTTAAGAAAGAGGTGCCCTGCCTTAGACTGAGGAATGATTAAGAGCTAACTAAGAGATACTCAACACTAAAAATACAAATGACCCAGTTAGAAAATGGAGAAATAGACATTTCTCCAAAGAAGATTCACACTCAGCCAATAAGCACTTGGAAAAGGTGCTCAGTATAGTGATATCATCAGGGAGATGCAAATCAAAACCACAATGAGATGCCACCTCACCCCCGCTCCGATGGTTATAGTAAAAAATATGGATAATAACAAGCATCGGTTAGGATACAGACAAATTGGAATTCTCACATGCTGCCTGTGGGAATGTAAAATGGTGCAGCTGCTTTTGGAGAACAATCTGGCAGTTTCTCAACGGTTAAACAAACTGTTAGTATATGACCTAGTAATTCCAATTGCAAGGTATATACCCAAGAGTACTGAAAACACACATCCATAGAAAAACTTGTACATGGATGTTCATAGCAGCTTTATTTGTAACAGACAAAAAGTGGAAACCACCCAGATGTCCATCATCTGATGAACTGGGAAATACGGTGAATCCATACAATGAAATTTTATCCAGTCACAAAAAGTAATAAAGTACTGATATTCTACAACCTGGATGAACCTTGAAAACATGATGCTACATGAAAGAAGCCCATCACAGACCACATGTTGTATGATTCCATGTACAGGAAGTCCCTGACTTACGAACGAGTTCCGTTGCGGGAGAACGTTCCTAAGTCGGATTCGTTCGTAAGTCTGACAAAATGAGTCTTATACACCTTTTACACAAATATGCAATGTAAAGCATGAAAAAACTAAACACACACACACAAATACTGTAAATAAACTTTTTACTTTTATAGTTACTTTAAAATGGTGGTACAGTACAACTGGCACATAGGGGATTGCATGGAGTGAACTGACAAGAAGAGAGTTACTAACTGGAGGAGGGGGGGCTAGGTGGGAGATGGTGGAGCTGCTTTTCTTCTTGCTTCCGGACATCCTGAGGTCTGATTGAGCACTGTGCTACTGTACACTATCGCACTGTACAGTAAGCACATAGCAGCACAACTGTGACAATATCCGGCAGACACGTGAGCTACTTCTGCGATTTGTTCTCATCTACGAATGTTCATAATGCGAGGTCCCTTCGTATCTGTGAAAGTTTGCAACTCGAATGTTCGTAAGTGGAGGACTTAGTGTACAGGAAATGTCCACAACAGGCAAACCTACAGAAACGGGAAGTGGATCAGTGGTTTCCAAAGACCAGGAAGAGGGACGAATGGGAGCAACTGCTAATGGGTATAGGGTTTCTTTAGGGGTGACAGAAATGTTCCAAAGTCGAATTGTACACTTCAGGTGGATGAATTATATGGTATGTGAATATCTCAACAAAGCTGCTATAGTAATAATAATAATAATAATAATAATAATAATAATAAACCAGTAAAAAGGGGGAAGAAGGGCTGCGTTCCCAGGCAGAGGAGGATATGAGAAGGAAGTGAGGGGAAAGCAGTGTGACTGAACTGCAACGAGCAATGGGAGAATGGCACAAGCTGAAGAGTAGGCAAAGGCCGGCCCTGCAGGAGCTTGTAGGACTCGAGCCAGAGATCAATGGGAAGACACTAAGGCCACAAGGAGAGCTCCAGTGGGTACTCTGCTGGGTGAGCTGAGAGTTGTTAAACCTGGAGAGCGTTTTTTCCACACTTTGTATCCTAAAAAAACGGTCCTTCAAAATTCCAAAGACTGTAGGAAAGGGTGCAGAACTGGTCTGTGTCACTCCAAAGAACTAGGACCAATGGACAAAAGGTAATTTGAACTCATTTTAAAGACAGTTGCATAGGGCCGGCCGAGTGGCGCGATGGTTAAGAATTCGCTTGGGATGCCAGAGGGCCCCGGTTCGGATCCCACATATGAGGGGCCAGTGACACTGCCCTCTACAGCTAAGAACAAAACGACAGCAACTTGTCTGTTCCCCTTCCCCCAATTCCCCAGCACTGTTCCCATCCCCCCAATTCCCCAATAAAAAAAAAATCACACAAGAGCCACCCTATTAAAAAAAAAAAAAAGACAGTTGCATAATAATCGGGCTCTCCAATAACAGGACAGGAAAGGCAGTTCCTGACACAGTATTCCTGCAAAGGTGCCATACCTCCATGAAACCCACACAAAACTCAAGCACCGGGTAGGAGACCAGGCAAAGTGAATTCTAAAACTGAAATCCATTCGATCACTACGGTTCCATAATGACAGAACTCCCTTCACTTCTCTCAAACTGCACACGAGCACCGTTCTTACTCATTAACCAACAAGGTTCTTCCTAGCAGCTAGATTCAAACGTTAGGCACAGACTCATAGTCTTAAGAGTCCAAAATGTTCACTAAAATAATTATTAGTTATTCTTTTTTAAACGTATTTATATACTACTAATATAAATGTCGAAATGCATAAATCCAGAAACCCCAGCATGGCTCCCTGCTCAACTCCATTTAGGGCCAAAGAGAAGAGCTGCTGCAGTGGCTTCCTGTCCACCTGAGTACCCACCAGGTGACTCGAACCTGGCAAACAGGGACCCAGACATAGCTGCCCTTCTCTACTCACCACCTCTTCGGCACCCAGCAAGAGGAGCCTTAATTCACAGGGTTAAAAAAGCATTTGCCAGACCTTTTTGTGAAACTGGGGAAGAGCAAAAACAGGGCAAATTTCAAAGGAAAAAGTTCTAGGACCTAAATAAAAGGCATGAGGTGAGTCTACAGACTCAGGACTGGGCCTGCCCCCATCATCCCTCCGTTGGTTGGGCATACACGCAGCTGATGAGGGCAAATCAAAACTACACATTAGAAAGTATGCACCCTGGAACAGTTATGGCAGGTCCTCGGAAAATTAAAAATAATCACCATATGAGGTAACAATACCATTTCTGGGTGTACACCCAAAACAACTGAAAGCAGGGGCTGTAAGAGAATCTTCTATACCCCTGTTCATAGCAGTGATTCACAATAGCCAGAAGGTGGACGCAACCAAGTGTCCATCAACATATAAATGGGGTCCCTCCACACGGTGGAGCATTACTCCGCCTTAGAAAGGCAGGAACATGGATGGACCTGGAGAACACTGCTCAATCCAGTAGTAAAAGGACCCGCGTGAGGTGCCTGGAGTCATCAGGCTCTTAGGCAGAAAGTAGGACGGTGGGTGCCAGGCGGGGGAGGGGGCGTTAGGGCTTAACGGGAACAGTTCCTATGCGGGAGGATGAGAATTCAAGAGATGGATGGTGGGGGTGCATGTACAAGTGTGAACGTCCTCAACGCCGATGAACTGTGCACTTATAAACAGGTAAAGTGGTGAACTTTATGTATATTTTACCACAATCACAAACAAAACAAGGAGCCATCGGCAGTACTGGATTCATGAGGCCCTCAACAAGTAAAGATACATATTCGTGAGACGCCGCCGAATTCTTAACATTTGGGGGTTATCCCATTCTTCGGGACTCGGGTGAACTTCGGAAGCAGGGTAACTCGGCGCTGCCGGAAGCTCTAGCGCCCACACACGGCCCGCCCACCGCCTTTAACGGCGCCTACGCTGCTCTCGTCCAATCAAAAGGCCCCGGAAAGAGACACTTGCAAAACGTCTATTTCCTTTTGTCCCGTCCTCCCCTGCTTCCTATTGGCGGGTTTCAAACCCCGGGAGCCAATGAGAGCGGGCGCAGGCTTGGAGCAAGTCCTTAGCTGCGGGCGCGGCCTTGGGAGGGCAACTGTCGCAGAGGAGCAATCATGGTGCGGCCGGGGCTCGCCGCCGCAGCCGGTGAGTGCTTTGGGACAGCCGGGCTACGGCGGGCTGTCTCCGCGGAGGCTGCCGCCTGCCTGCTTCGATGTTTCCCCCGGGCGTTTGTGGCCCCGAGGAGATGTCCGAGCGGCGGGCACAGGCACAGGCCCTGCACCAGCGCTGCAGGGACGTCACTGTCCCCTCGTTCGTTGGCCGGGGTCGCGCGTCCAGGAGAAGCCAGACGTCCCCGCGTCCTGGCGTCGCCCCCGCCTGCCGCGAGCCTGCACAGCAGCCGGGGCGGGTCCGGCCTTCGCCCAGAAGGCGTGGGTCTCGGGTCCCAACCTCCCAGCTGCGCCGGCATTTGGACAGTGTCGGTGATGACACCTGTCGACCTGGCGCGTCCTGGGCCCTTCACATAACGACCCTTAAAGATGGGCATCTCTGTCCCCATGTTATGGCTCCGTGGCAGCAGCTTTGCTAACATGCTAGAAGTCCCAGAGCTGGCGGTCACGGCCGGCATCTTAGCCCCCACTGCCTGGCGCGGCTCTAGCTTCCTTGGCGTGCATGACCCTGTGGCAACACAGCAGCTCAGTTAGGTGAGGCGGAGAGCATTTGCACCCCTCTAGTCTTTTTTCTTTCATTAATTTTTTTTTTCAGTTATTGAATTTTCGTCTTTTCCTACCATCTAATCCCCTCATTCAGTCCCTGCCTCTGAACTCCCCCATCATTCTCTCTTTGATCCTTTCTTATGGCACCTAGATTTTGCCTTATGTTGTAATCATTGTTGTGTTTACTTTATCTCCACTGCTAGATTGAAACTTCTTAAGGACAGAAATAGACTTTCATCCCCTCACAGGTGCCTTGCTTAGAGTCAACATATAGATAGATGTTTGCCATGAACCCCCTAACCTGGCCTATTTTGTGCTTAGTCCCAAAGAAAACCATGTAAGCATGTAATGACTGGAGAGCAAAAATCATCATCTCCGTCAGAAAAAAACAAGACCTGGCCCGCTTACCAGTTCAGATGGGCCATAACCAAATTTCTTTATGCAAAGCGTATGTTGTAGCTGAGAACAGTGCCTGTGAGCAAGGGCTCCTGGCTGGATAAACCTGGTTTCAGATCCTGGCATAGCTGGGTAGCTTCAGGCATATCATTTACCCTCTTTAAACTTCAGGCTGTAAAATACCTCTTAGGACTGGTGTGCAGATCAAAGTAAAACATGTAAGTGTGAAGAGCTTAGTACACAGCCTGGCATATATATATTATACATGATGTGGTTGGTGTTGATATTAACTTGGAGGCATAATCCACAGCCAGGATCATTAAAGAAAGTGTCACCTTTTGGAATATAAATGACTGGTTAAAATCCTAAACCGAAGTTGTTTGTTTGCTTCCTGTTTTGCAGAGGAACGGCAGAGAAAGCTCCAGGAGTACCTCGCAGCCAAGGGAAAACTGAAGTGCCCAGACAGCAAGTGAGTCTGTCTCCCAGGGACACGGGTCATGCTGCCCTGGTTGCTAATAGCAGTTTAAAGCCCTTCCAAACATAGCCCTTTGCTTGCATATGCTCTACTTTGGGACCCTATGGTGTCTCAGAAAGGGCATTTCAAGCATGATGAAAAGCTCTGGGCAGTGTCTAGTATATTGGCAGAGATTTCAGCCTTATCGTGACAGTCCCCAAAGGAAAGAGGGGGAGGCTGCACAGTATTCCCTACATGCTGGAAGCTTTTCCTGTTCCTGCTTTTTTTCCTGGGACAGTAATTCTCATGAAGGCAACGTTTGGTGAGGGACTTGAACAACCCTGGTTCAGTCCTCCAGCCTGATACTCTTTGGTCCTCTTAGCACTGACTCTTGAGGTGGATATGATACGACTGACTAGCTTTTATCTTTCGTCAACAATCCTGCCATTTTACTGTGTCATTTATCCCTCTTATTAGCATTGATATGTTTTCTGCCCACCTGGGTCGCTAAACTTTGTTTTCAAAATGAGTTTTTACAAAGTTAGCTTTCACCCTTTATTTTCTGCTTACTTTGGGTTTTGACTCAACTCTATTTCCTTGATTAAATAAACCTAGTGCATTCATTCAACAAATATTTAATACCTGTACTATATCACTCTTGGTTCTGGAGACATGACGCTTAACAGCACAGGTGGTCCCAGCCCTCCCAGGGTGCACACTGGTGATGGGAGAAACAAACATCAGGTCATGATCAAAGTCCTTACTAGTCTGGCAATTGTTTTTCATCCATGGAGATTAAATCCTTCTGAATTCTATGCTTTCCTACCCTTTTTGCATTTTCCATCTCACTAGCTAGATTTCATATGTGCCCCTGGTTTTTTAATTATATCACTTTTTCCCCCCTGAAAATTCACTATTTGAAGATACTTAAAATGAAGTTTTTTAAAGAACCAGTTAATGGTCTTATTTGGCATTGTATCTCCAGTGCCTTATTTGGCATTGTATCTCCTGGCATTGCAGCATTCTGGGAATGGTATTAGAATGAATAACGCTGTGTAAACGTGAAGAAAAGACATATAGTTAGTTCATTAATATTGTTAGAATGCTATGTTTATGTGTAAGATATCTGAGAGGATCGCAGGCAAATGTGGTCTCCGAGGAAGGGAGGATAAGAAGGCTTTTTATTGATTATAATTTTGAGTTATTTTACCATATACAGAAATTGTAATGATTTAAAATTCCATTTTAATCACTATACTTCCCAAACCTTGTTGACCTTTCTGTACTAAGAATTAATCTTATTTTGTCTTTTGTAGGCCTTATCTAAAAGCCAAGAGTAATTGCCCAAATCCTCCGCCTTCTAAATCTGTAAGTAGAAATTAGCCTTTTAAAAAAATATCCATTTTGAGTGATTAGTGATAAAAATAATAAAGATGTTAGCAACCTAAAGAACACGTTTTGCGAAGACATTCCTCATAAATAGGAGGACAGTTTGGTTTGGTAAGAGATAACGATAGCGTGTTTTTTTTTAAAGTACAATATACTGAAGTTCAGTTTTGTTAACCGAAAAAACCCTTAAGTGCGCTGTGGTCTCTACATAGCTAACATTTGTTGAGTATCTACTGTGTGTCTACACCTTTCTGACCTACATTACTGAGTCCGTACAGCCTTGTGAAGTAGGCACTGTTAGTAGCCCCATTTTACAGATGAGGGAACTGAGTCCCATCATAGCTATTAGGTGACAGAGCTGAGAGCCTGTGGTCTCAGCCAGTTGGGGATGCTGCCATGACGTTAAACAGCTCAGTGGTGGCTAACAGCGCCTGTGTTGGACCTCCCAAGGTTCCTCACAGGAGTATGCTCCCTTATCAGTTCCATTCGGCCAGAATGTGGGGGGATGGCAAAGGGTCCCAGCGTCCTTAAGGTTTAATGGACGGTTTATTCAGCCATAAAACGTGATGTGGTGTATGTGTGGGAATATGAGTCTGTGGGAACTCGTACTACTTTCCACTTAGTTGGGCTTTGAACCTAAAACTACTCTAAAAATTAAAGTTTATTAAAAAGTAAAGGAATGAAGCACTGACACTCGCTACATAGCTGAATTTCAGAAACATGATGCTCAGTGACAGAAGCCAGACACAAAGGCCACACATATTGTGACTCCATTTATAGAAAATGTCCAGAATAGGCAGGTCCATAGTGACAAAGTAGACAGGTGGTTGCCGGGGCTGTGGGGAGAGGGACATGGGGAGTGACTGCTAATGAGTAGGGGGTTTCCTTCTGGGGTGATGGCAGTGCCCTAGAATTAGATAGTGGCGATGGTTGTACAAACTTATGAACATGTCAAAATCCACTGGCTTGTACACTTTAAAGTTCATGGGATGCAAGTTACAGCTCAGTTACGAAAGGAACAACTAAGGAGCAGCATGTGTTTGGAGATTTTCTTAGCAGCCTCCCCGCCTCTGTAGTGAGTAATCACGGGACATGAGAGGTGCGCGTGACTACTGGGCTCGAGGAAGAACCCAGCTATAGCCGCGTGGAGCAGCGTCCATCTCTGCACCCCGTGCCACACTAGGATAGGCGTCGCTTTGCCCCTGGTGCCAGGCGGCTCTGCTTCCACACTTCCTGTACACATACCAAATTCACATGGGGACTGGACAGCACTGCAAACGCAACACAGAGAGTTGCTTCTCACACTCCAGCGCTTCCCACGCTTCCCTGGGATGCGTGCCCCACAGATGTCATCAGGGTCCCCTTTCTGAGTGACTGTCAGTCCCAGTGCTCATGCTCTTTTCCACATCAGCTCAAACTCCCCTCACCCCCTAGTTCTCAAAGTTCTCTGTATCCTTGTCCCACCCTTCTCCAAAATTAAATCACATGACGGAAATGCTTACTTGTTAATAATGGGCAATCTAACCCTAAAACCCCTCCTGACTTCACAAATACGACTGACTCTTCTGAGAGGTTAGTTGCCTATGGAGGTCAGGCCCCCCCAATCCTCCACTACTGTCCTCGCCACTGAGGGGCCACGGGTTCTGGAGTGACACTGTGACCTGTATGAGGGCAGTGCTGTCTGTAAACAGTTTGTGCAAGAGCACAGAGGACATGGGGACCTGGGCGGCCCTGACCTGCATGCACTGTGTGACCTTCCCAGCCCCGAGGGCCTTCCTGGGACATCACCTTGTCCCATCGAGGCACAGTGACTGCTCACACAGTCAGTTCTCCATGTTTGCTGCGTCCCTGTCACGAGAAGATTCTGATACTCTCTGATAGGGACTCGCCATAAAAGTCTTCCGTTAGTGAGCCTTTCTTTTCTCAGGATTCAACTTCCTTAAGTGAAGTGCCAAATAACATTTTTTATTTTAAAAGTAGTGAGCTATTCTTATGAATTTACTTTTTTGATATTTTTGTCTTTTTAGACTGTTAGACCCAAAAAGGATGTTACCAACCACGCTGCTTTGCCTGTCAAAGCTGCAAGACCCATCAGCAGCCAACTTCATCCTAGACCTGCCAATAACCCAGGGTCTCAGGAGCCACAGTTGGAGCCACCGAAACGTCTGGGCGAAAGGCTGACTTCAGAACATGTTTCTTCCAACCCAAACGGTGAGCCTTCCATCAGAAGTCAGCAGCAGCACAAAGCTGGGTCATCCACCAGAGAGCTGTCAGGGAAAACTGCAGGGTCACTTAACACACAGGAGCTGAAAGCTGCAAAACCACAGGCGACAGACGCAGGAAATGGTGCGCGTGCAGACTCTGTGGACAAGGCCCGTGGTGGGGGTGAGTCCTTGCATGGCTGTCCAAAGCACACAAACAAGGAGAACTTGCCCTACACCTCACTGCACTCTGAGAAGAAACCACAGCCTGGGTCCTGGGCCAGAAGTGAGCCAGAGACCAGCTCGTACCATCAGACCAAGAGCAGTCTGGCTCCTAAACAAGCCTTGGCCAGAAGCTCATTGAATAGTGCTGTTCTGAAAGACAGAGCTAATGAACAGCTTGTTCGAGGAACACGGGCCAGGATTCCACCCGGGAAGTCACAGCAGCTGTCTAGAGGAGCAGGTCTTGCAAGACCAGGAGGAAAAGCCCCAAAGACAGTTCCCTCTCACTGTGTTCAGACCCTTAGTAGGACTCAAGCATCAAGGAAACCAGGGTTCAAGGATCCAAAGGATACGAAGGTTACTAAGAGTAAATACGAAAGACCGAGTGGGGCTAAGATACCGTCACACGCTGTTGCTGAACAGAGAGCAGAGCATAGCAGACCCAGGACAGGCCCAGGCCTGCTGCGGGGGGTTACTGACAGCAGGCATCCATGTGTTGGGCAAGATCGCAAGCCCCCTCAACCCCCTTCTGGGCCACAGGCACCATGTGTGCCACACAGGTCCAATGTCATCAGCCAAAGGCCTGACCTGGCACCTGGTAGCTTTACCTCAGTCACTGCCAGGGCTCCGAGCTCAAGAGCGGATGCAGCCAGTGTGAATAAGCACAGCAGCTGTCCACAGAAAGTACGGACTCTGCACCCCCAGTGGAAAGGGGCTATCCCCCAGAACCATTGCCTGTACAAGACAGCTCCCAAAACTCACGCTGGTGGCACAGCCGCACATAGAACGGGAGTCCCGCGTGGGACCCAAACGAGCCCAGGTGCTAAGAGGAAGACCACAGCAGAGGATCGAAGGTACTTTGCTTTAATTCAAAAGTTGTGCCATTTATGATTAGGCAAGGTGACCGTTGGGAAACAGGCCACAAATAGTGGCTCCTGGGGTGTTTTTAGCCGCAACCCTGAAAAAACATCTGAAGCCAGTCTGTCAGATATTAGGGCTTGACTGGGCTGGGGGCTGCATCCGTGTGTTGTAAGTTATCCTTTAACTCCTGCATACCTAAACTAGCCAGTAGGGTAAGAAGCAGGGCTGCAGGTGACCCTACTGGGTGCAGCAAGGGAAGTTGTGCTGGGGGTTGACCTTGATACACACTTGAACTGAGCCAGGGACTTTATGCACTCTCTGCACAGGCCCAGGTGATGCAATGTGAAGACCCCAGGAGAAGCACGCCTGGGCACCTGGGGGGCAAGAGAAATTGGTACCTAAGAAAGGCAAACGGCGGGCTGGCTGAGTAGCTCAGTTGGTTAAAAGTTTGGTTTAAGAGCACGAGCTCTGAGCAACAGGGCCACTGGTTCGATTCCCTCATGGGCCAGTGAGGCTGCGCCCGAGCTGAGCTGTCACTGAGCTGCCAACAGGTGGCAGGATGGCTCAGCTGGTGTAACAAGATTGCCTGTTCGATGGTGGGCTATGCCCTCCTGCAACTAAGACTGAACTCAGCACCTTGAGCTGAGCTGCTGCCTGGATGGTTCAGTGGATAGAGCGTGTGCTCTTAACAACAAGGCTGCTGGTTCGACTCCTGCATGGGATGGTGGCTACGCCCACCCACAACTAAGATTGAACACAGCACCTAGAGCTTAGAGGCCACGAGCTGCCGACGGGAAGCCAGATGGTGACTGGCCCCCTCCATAACTAAGATTGAAGAACAGCAACTTGGCTGGTCCCCTTCCCCAATTCCCCAACACTGTTCCCCTACCCCAATTCCCCAATAAAATCTTTTTAAAAAAAAGAAAGGCAAAGGGCATGGACAAAGGTGCCCAAGAAGGGCGAAGGGCAGTGTAAAGTCAGATGGCAGGAGAGGTAGGGCAGAGGTGGGTCTGCACACAGCCCCACGCTTTACTCTCCTGAGGAGACAGGAAGTAACACCTTAACTCAGGGCCATGCGATCAAGAAGGGAAGGCCAGGGGACTTCTTTAACTAGGGTCAGCAGTGAACCTGGGCTGGGAAATGACAGTGACGAGAAGGATGAAACTTCTGAGCAAAAAGAAAACTGAGTGAAAGCTGTGAGCGCAGACCTAGACCAGGTGACGAAGTGGGTTGCAGACAGCATGTGGGTGCTGATTATGTGTGGTGACAAGGATTTGCGCAGAGTTACACCACAGTGCCCCTCACGTGCCCTCAGCACCCACGGTGCCAGGCGCTGGGACAGCCAGGGGTTGCCTTCCTAGAGCTCGCATTCCAGTGGAGAAGACAGGAAGTGAACTAAACAAGACAAGATAATGACAGATAATTTCCTTGTCAGGAATGACTGGTGATGTCAGACCAAAGCCAGGATGAGCTGGGGTCAAGAACCTGAAGGACCTGGAGCTCCTGGAGGGTAGTGATGAGGGGAGGAGCTGCCGAGCTTGGAGAGCAGGCAGGACCCAAGTCACACTGCCATTCACTGAATTCCCCAAGAGCCAGGAAGGCTCCTGGCAGTGACTCAGGTCATTCTGGCTACTGTGCATGTCCCATGAGGCCTCAAGTGGAAGCAAAGATGTGAGTTTGGAACAGCTGCCGCTCATCAGGTACACGGTGGCAGTGATACAGACGGCGACAGGGCCAGTGGAGATGGGTGTGGTGCTGTCTGTACGATGCTGTGCCAGATACGGGGGCGGGAGGCGGTGCTGAAGACAACCCTAGTTTTAGGCCCATGCAACTAGGTGGGGACACTTACTCCTGCAGGATCAGCTGTTTGGGAACTTGGTTTGGGATGGTATTGAATTTGAAATAACTGCCAGACATCAAACAGAAGATGTCAGTTAGGCAGTGGGCTCTACAGCAGCTCAGAAGCAGGAGTGGGGACCAAACATTGTGGGAGAGTGAAGATTAGGATTTGTCACCATCTTGGGAAAAGAGCCCTGCAGTTACTGTTCTTGTTTATGGAAGAGGGGGTTGTGTGAGTCAGCACAGGGCTAAGGAACTGGCCAAAGCGGGTCACTGAGTGGCCGAGACCCTGTTGAGGGCACAGGGCAGGCTTGGATCTGGTCAGTGGCAGCTGGAAAGCTTAGGGTGAGAGAAACGGGTGCTCAGTTAATGGCCTCAGAGATGGAAAGGAAGTGTCAGAGGTCACATGCAGGGGAAATGAAAGTCCTCAGAGGAAATAGAGAAGGATAATCCTGAAGTCACGGATTTGGGGATTTGAGATGCTAGCCACCTCTAGTCCTGCTAATCCCTGTGGCCTCTGCCTTCTAGAGGGCCGGGGGGACTCATCTGTGAACTGTTTTAATTCCCTTCTCCTGACTTTGTAGTTGAACGTGTTCGGTGGCAGTGCTCAATGTATGCGTATCATATACTCTAGGAGCTTGACTACGTGCCAACAAGTCCTAAAACCATGCCTCCCCTTTAACTGCACAACAGGAAACAGCTGGAAGAATGGCAGAAATCTAAGGGGAAAATGTATAAACGGCCTATGGAACTTAAAACAAAAAGAAAAATCACAGAGGAAATGAATATTTCATTCTGGAAGAGAATGGAAAAAGAAGAGGAAGAACAGAAAGCCCAACTTGAACTGTCCAGTAAAATCAGCAGCACTCTGACCGAGTGTCTGCAGCTCATCGAAGGGGTGAGTAAGGATGGTGGTCTCCAAGGCTTTGACCCAAGGCATGTTCTTAAATATAGTGCTGACCTCTGTCGTAGCAGAAACTTAGTCTGTCCAACATAGAAGCATAACGATAGCAGTAATAGTAATGACATGCACTTAAATGACAGCCCTCATTGTCCCCTGTAATAACCGTAATGATTTACTGTGCACACTTCACAAACAAAACAGGCACAGACAAGTTGGGAACCTAAGCCAAGCAGCCTGGCTCCCCAGGGACCCAAAGCAACTTCCTTCTTCATGGGTCAGGGTCCACAGAAAACAGTTGGCGTTTGGACACGAGCAAAGTCAAAGCAGCTTGTGTAAAGTTGGATGGTCCTACACACGCTATAAGTGGTCTCTGAGTCATATCTTGGACCCTGCAGATGAGGACAAAGTGGGTGGCAAAGGGCTGGCTCCCTAGGACAGTCTTGAAGAGAGACTGTTAACAAGAAATAACCAGTAGGCTCTACATGACAGTCCTTGCCCAAAGCAAACCCTGTTTTGCCCTTGGCTGCTGGTGTCGGACATCGACAAAAAAAGGTGCCTTCAGTTTAGGTCTAGTCTGAGCAATTTGTCCACAATCAGTTAAACATTAGCTGTTTGTTCTTTGTGGAATTAAACTTTTTTTTTTTGCTCTTTTGTTTTCATTGCATTAAAAAAAATACATCAATACATTGTTATTAAAAACAATTCAAACAATACAGGTAAATGACTACCCCCTCCCCCGCCCCACACATGCATGTATGCGTGCACACATGCATGCGCGCACACACACAGTTATGCATCTAGGCTTCTCCCTGGAGTGACACTATTGCTAATTATCCCTCCAGACAGTATTTGTGCAGGTACATCCAATGTGGGTACATAGAGAAATGAAGTGTATTGTTTTGAGTTGCAATTTTTTCATTTCTGAATTTCACATGTGTTCTTTTGTTGTCTTTTTGTGTGTCCCTGGATAAAGTATGATGCTTTGTCAAAGAAGTTGGGTATTTTCCTTTTTTCCTATACTCTATTTGAAAATAGTTTATCCAACATGAGATTTATTTTGTTCTTCGAAGGTTTGGTAAGAACTTGCCCATAAAATCATATGGACTGTGGAGAATAGTTCTGTGTATCTTTTCAGATTTTTCCATGGTCATTAGTCTATTTAAGTTGTTGTGATTTTAGTAATTTCATGCCTTTTATTTAAATCAGACTTGCTAAAGATTTCTCATTTAATATTTTTAAAAGGACATCTTTTGGGTTTTGTTGGTTTTTTTTTTCTCTTACATCAATGTCTGCATCTATTTTTATATTCTCTTTCTAGCTTTTTAAATAGAAAGCTTCGATCATTTATATTAGTCTTTCTTATTGTTTTAAAAATACATTGAATGCTATAAATTTGCCTCTGAATTTAGCTTTGGTCCTGTCCTTCAGGTTATGATAGGTAATGTCTTTTATTAGAGTCAAGTCAGAAAAACAGAAGCCACACCAGGTAAATCCATAGAAGGAACGTGGTGTGCAGAGTGGTTTCGGTGTCTTGTATGAGTTCCCTGGAAGCAGCCCCTAGGACACGAATTTGTGCACAAGTAATTTATTAGGAAGAGGCTCCCAGAAAATGGAGGGGAGTGTGATGTGGGGCCAACAAGTGTGTGTGTCCAGCAAAGTCCACAGAGGGCGACTGTGACAGAGTCCCACAGGAAGCTCTAGGGACAGTTGGTCCTGATCAAGGGGACAGAAAGTCCCAGGCACTTGTGACTGACACATACACGGAGGTGCAGGTACTGGCTGTTGGACATGACAGCACTTTCTGAGCCTGTGTGCACAGGACTTAACCTCTTTCACACACACCTGCACCGACCT